GTATTGGACTCTGACCAATGGTTGTATAATACGTAGTAACGATTGTCAATCTTCGAATGTGCGTGACATGGGTTTGCCCTTATAGCCCACGACATGTCATCGTTTGTATCAGTCATTCTTAGCTAGCAGAAGCGCCTTTGTATTTTTATATCCCCACTCACCCACCCGCGAGCCGCATCAGGGGGGTAGGCCTTCGGTTTCGCTCCCCCCCTGCTGCGGCTTGGCTTTTTTCCGGCAAACAATAAAGTCATTTTTGCTTATACTAGTTCCTGTTGTCCTTTGAATTAGTGTAAGATCTGTCACAGAGGATTATATGTACTTTTAGAAAGAGGGGATCGCTTGGGATCTCTCATTTACCATTTCTTACATTTCGTTAACAAACCAACTGTTTTAAAACATACTAATTGCCAGCCATTGCATTTTTATCTGAGAGTTTGAGTTGTCGTTTCCCCCTCTACATTTTTTCTGTTATGGAAAGAGGCTTGCTCGCACCTTTTAGAATGACTCGTCTTGGCTCTCGATGTTAAAGGGACACATATTAAACTATGCTCTTTTAAGTCTTGTTAATTAAACAAACATGTTACAAGTTTATAGAATTTCGTGTATTCATTCATTAGTTTTTATTCCTCCATACCTTAGTCGAATTTGTTGTAGTGGTTAGTATATAATTTGATAAAATTTTGCATTTTTTTTTCTGCATCAAGCTTAACATAGTATATCCTAAATGGTTATTAAACTCCATAAATAATTATCTTAAGCTACAATGTAGGCGTTACAACGTAACCTGATGGTATTTTGAGTTTCTGTTAAGTTTTATAGCAACTCAGATTTTAAAAGTGTACATTCAACGTGTCTAAATAAAATTAATAAAGGCGAAACTCAGTTGATAAAATCGAATTTTTCTGTCTGTGTGACCATTTGACATTGTATAGTAAATGCACTGGATTCCTTGTACAGTAGTTTTTAGAGATTACGAAATATACGTACCTGCTAATGTTGCGGAATAAAAGTTGATAACTTTATGTCCAGTTTTGGTGAAAAATAANTCTGTCTGTGTGACCATTTGACATTGTATAGTAAATGCACTGGATTCCTTGTACAGTAGTTTTTAGAGATTACGAAATATACGTACCTGCTAATGTTGCGGAATAAAAGTTGATAACTTTATGTCCAGTTTTGGTGAAAAATAAGAATTTAAAAGATTATGAGTTCCCTACTGACTATGAATCTTATACAAGTGTTGTGTTCTAAAAGCATAGTCAACTACCAATTAAAAACCCTCGAAATTGTTAAATTCGTCACATTTCTGAGCCAAAACGACGATATGCTTGTTCATATGTGTTCCCTCAGACGCCTCCTCCTTACCACTACTCGCAGGGTACCTCCTTCTCGGAAATGTGTTTTATCTGTTCGAAACAATGAAAATGTGGGCGCGATCCATTCAACCAAAATTCAGACCGGTCCGACCGGGAAAAGTGGTCCACCTCAAAAGGTGGACTAGTTTTTTTCGAATCTTTTCCGGTTGGACCGAGCTGATCCATTGAGTTTTGGACCAAAATTTCCGGAAATTTTGGTTGAATGGACTGCGCCCTTGGTTGAAGCGATCGCGCACTGTGAGTTCCACTTGGTCCAGACTCTACGTGCAACCAGCCTATTGCGCAGAGGAAAATTCTTCTGGATTGATATTTGCGCAATACAAGTTTATAAGTAACAATTAATGAATGAGGCTGAGTATCTTATGAAGAATTATGGAGATCGAGGAGGGAGTTATCCGTTGAGACCGTAGGCCGAGGCGGATAACACAATCCGAGATCTCCATAATTTTTCATATGATACGAAAACCGAATTCAATACTTGCTTTATTAGTCATTCAAAATAATTCCTAGTTTAAAAACATGGCTACAACATGCCTACCTCCACCGATCCATCGATGTTCAGTTCATCTTCGATAGTGCACGTTTAGGATTGTACAGCTCCGCAAATATTCCCCAAATGGCAGATGTTGCCCTTCGAGTTGCCTTCTTGCTGTTCTTGCCGTGTTTTTAGCTATATATTCGCCTATTTCTTACTCTTGAAACGAGTGAAATGTCCGCCATTTTTCAAGTTCACAACCAAAACAACGCAGCCTCGTCCCCAGGTCTTCTCGGTTGACAGTGCCTTAACCTGCAGAACGCTGCATTTGTGACGTCATTTCCTCGCTAAACACAAAATTCTTCCAAATTTGCTCATCAGAAACTGGTTATGGTGAATTAAACGTGTGCTTTTAGCCAATCAGAATCGGGGAAATATTTTGAATGAATAATAAATATTATTAATAAACATTACTATTTTTGCTTGCGATGGCTTCATTTGTTAACAATACTGAATTTGCCCTCTTGATACCCGGTAAGTTTAAATAGCACTAATCCAAATTTACGTAAAGAAAAAGATATTCTGCATTCTAAAATCTAGAAAACTTCTTGACTCACGCAGATCTTGTTAGCTTATACGTAAAAACTAACTAGGAAAGAGTAATGGTGATCGTAAATAATGATGCCAGGCATTGGGAATATTTGATCGCCAATCTTGCTGCCTCTGAAAGACTGTTTAGTTGTGTAAACAGTCTATACATTATTCACAATAGGACACCTGCTCCAAAAATTCAAATTCGTGGCTTTATTTGTAAAAACTAATTCAAAACTGAATTCAGAGGGGGCTTATAACTATTTTGACCTCTACTCGAAAGTTTTCATTAAAACCTAACATGAAAGCTGCAGGTTCTTCAAACGTTTTGTGGCCGAAATGTTTTTAAAACCAAAAATATTATGAGTCGGACAAAGTTCGTCATAGCTCACTTCTTCATTTACAATTCATATTTAAACGAATGGTAGCACTTACTAGAATAAAGCATGACATTTCCGGGAATAATGTAAATACTGATTAAATTCAGCGGCAATATGCTTCGCGTGGCACTTCTGCTTGTGTCCAAAAGCTAGAATGTTGTTTCTCGTCTTAGCGTTGACTCTCATTTCCAGCTTTCAGGAAACGAAGCAAGCTGTCATTAATCCGTCAAATCTCGACGCAAATGGGTAAGTTGTGCCTCTGCACTTCCTTAGAAGAAATTTATCTTGAAATTTGTGAGCAAACATCTCGGAAAGCAAAAAGATAATAACAGTTTGTTCATGTACAAGCAGTTTTAAAACAGGGGTATATAACTATTTCAAGATAAGTAGTAAGGGCCGTGATGTGCAATCTTTACGAAGCTTTACTTTCAGGACGGTATTGTTTAAATTAGTTCTAGACTCAAGGCCTTGCTTTTACGCGGTTCAAGAAAATGTCATTAAACAAAATGGAGTAGACAAGATCATTGTGGGTCCTTGGCATTTTAACCAGGTGGGAACGGTTTTTCGACTCCCAGATGGCTCCAATATTTCAGTCATCTCTTTTGTTCCTTTTCATCCTCAATACCGTGGTGTAAGCATGGATACGTTCGACATCGGTACGATACCGATAATCTATCACAACAATCCGATATGAATTCTTTGTCTATGTCAGGACAATTTCTAGCAGCTAGTTAGAGCTTGTAGGGGCTTAGGGTATTTTTGTTTTACTTTTGAATCAGCGCCAATAATACACTTGGTAAGTGATTTAAAAATGATAAACTTCTTGCCGACAATTTCGCTCAGCAAAACCACCAATTATCACTTGATATGGTCGTACCGTGACGACACTGTCTTGATGCAAACCTACGAGATTAGTGGACTTAGGCCTGGTTTAGACGCCGTACTTTTCATGTGCCGAACCTGACTGAATAAGTTCGACTTTGGAGCGACACTGGCGCGACATCTGATTCAGACCGCGTACCGTGTGTCGAACCTAAGTTAAGTTCGACAAAAGTTCGACAGACTCTGTCGAACTTAACGCTTTTGCCGCACCAAATTAAAACTGCCGTACCAAATTGATTCAGTCGCCGCTCTTTTACTGTACTTAATTCATCAGTTAGGTTCGGCACATGAGTGGAGCGGCGTCTGAACCGGGCCTTAGTTCACTTCCTATTCTAGAAAGGCAATTTTCTTGTCATCTTCATTTTAGGTTGGATTCATTTGCAACATACGCGTATAGCTGTTGCATTTTCTCGCTGGAATTTTTATTTTTTTAAGCCTAAAGTTAATCTCCTTCAACACCTCGCACGGTCTGAATCAGATGTAACTTCTATCTTCCGCGGGACGTTGAACCGTCTTTGTGATTTCAAACATTTTTAGGTTCGCTTCATCAGATATAACGAAAAACCAAACGTTTTAAATTTCACTTTGCTGACTGAAGTTAACTGTAAAAATGCATGTAAATACCGATAAACGAAAGTAAAGCAAAATTTGCATCTCCCGATTATAAGATTTCTTCCACATTAACCGACTGAAGTGGTTGCAAAAAGATTAATATTGAACAAAACAAGGTTGATTATTTATAGCCCAATAGAAATAGTTTTTTATTGGAAAATAATGTCAGAGGGAAATGTTACTAAGGAAAAGGAAATGTTTCGTGCTCCACTGTTTGACGAAAGGGAAAGAAGTTAATATGCAGTAGGTCTAGTAGCCTGTCATTTTTCACCTAGAGACTAGGCAGTCAAATTTGAAGGTAAATACACGACGGTGAATTTCAAGCCGCGATATACAATAGATTCGAACCACCTTGACCGATCGGGAAAATGGTTCAAACAAGGAACTTCAATGATTAGCCAGAGGTATACAATGTTGGTGGTTCAAATAATCACAACTTTCGATTGTTTTATCGCAAGAAAGCCAGTAACTGTAGTCGACTTATTATATCATCAAACACAGAATCAGTTTTTGATATTTTCAATGGAAAATAACTTTTAATCTGATGATTTCAATGCTCGATAGTTTCCCAGAAATGGCTAGACACAACACGCAAATATTCGAAAACTCTTTATTAACAAACTTAAATAAACATTATTCAGGTTCAAATTATTAAATATGGCTATTAGATGATTTGTTTTGTAATACTTAACTGAAAAACAACATAATTTTTAGAAAGGAAAAAGTAGTTATCATTCCTGGGCCCTCGTTTTCCAATAAACAGGAAAAGCGGGCTTCACTTTCATAAGAACAAAGACGTCTTTGTCGCAGCAGCATGCCTCGGCACATTTCCGGGATAAAAGGGAAGATAATAAATAAGTTTGTTTGTCTTTGGGTAGAGTTAGTTCAGACTCAGAGCCACCTAGTGGGACACTGTTATTATTATTGAACACATCTTTTTTGAAGTACATGGGAAAATATATACAGTCAAGATGGTCGTTAGGATGAATGTTTTTGTAACAAATTAAAGCTATTGCGTCATTATTGCATTCAGCGCTAGGAGAATGCATGCAACCTCGTACAACGGTTTACCTCTATAAAACGGAGACCGGCAAGCACATGGAAAAATCGCAAATAAGAGATACGAGAATCCATTACAAGGTGTAAAGAATACACCTTGTATTACACCTCCGTTTTTAGCGATTAACAATGTAATCAATTAACATATATGTATTGAATTGTATTATTCTACCTTGGGATTTCAATCTAAACAACGTCTACTTGCTCTTTTTTTTTTTTTTTCGCAAGGCCCTTTCGCTTGGCCGTGAATATGACGAACTGAGTTTCACAAATATAGCTAATTAAGCGAAGGTTATCGTGATAAATAATTGACTGACTATTGCTGATTGGCGAGGGGGGGTGGGCGAGTAATGCTAATCGGCTAACTACTATTCAATACAACTGAATGAATGACTGAGAACTGAGCTTACCCTTTTAAACTGACTGATAAACTGATCATGACTACCCTCCTAATAGTGACTGAACAATTCTTTAGGCAACGTGAAAAGGGATTTTAACACGTCGCATCATGTTGAGGCTAATTCTATATCTGAACCTGAGGCTTTTAACCAGTCTCTCCCAAGATCGGGAAAGCATTATTAAATACTTATAACTTTTTTACAGGCAGAACGTGTGCTCCAGGCAGACTGTACAAAAACAGGCATACCAGACGGTCACAGCAACCACAACCATAACTACAAGCTGCAGCGGTTGGTGGTTGTGGCGTAGATGCTCTTCACGGTAAGCAAGAAGTTTGTAACAACACTGAAGTAGTGCGGTATTGGCAACAACATACTAACAAATATCGATGTATATACGATGTGTAGTGTGTTGTTAAGTGTGCAGTGTCTACTAAAAAGAATTTCACGTTGGCTATTTTCACCTCAACTTTCACAACTTAACCTATTTGCTGACACTGTGTGCCGTCACAATGATTCCACGATGCACAGGGTCGACCAACAACTGCTCTGGTAATCATTTTTTGGCTTGACAATGCATTTTCGTTTAAGGTGCTCTATGTCACGCAGTTAAGACCCGTTAATGGTTGACAGCCATTGCATCGAAGACTATAGGAGATACAGGCTTTCGTTATCTTACACGCCTCCAGTTATTTTCTGAGACAGAGGAAGAAAATGGGGAACTCTGAGACTGAATAAAGGGTGTAGTTTCTCTCCCCAGTGGTTTCAAAGGTGATTTGACAAAAGCAGTTCCCCAAAGAATCACATACGAAACATGCGTTATATCTTATTTCATAATTTTGTTTTATCTTCACTTTAAGGTAGTTGCATGAATTAAACAGCGATCAATGTTTTCTTTTTAAAATCTCATTTCCGGGGCTTAAATCACGCCCTAACCGCCAGAGGTATATTTTTAATTTGTTCTCGGTACGTTTGTCGGGTATAGTACTGTGCCGACTTCATTTCCTAAGCCTCGCTTATAAACAGCTGGCGTTTTTGCCTCCTGCTAGATGGGATTCGTAACCTTGCTATGCTTATTTCACTTGATTCCTTTCAGTTATTTGCTCGGTCCAGCTAGCCTTTGTATTGTAAATTGTAAATACTACGGCGGATTATTACCCCTGCTAGGGTTTTGATTTGCATCGGTAACAGTTTATTAACATTGTTCTAATCTCGTTTTGTTCCTTGTGTTCCTTGAAAGACCAAGAACAGCCTACCGCTCTGTTCAGAGAACAAGAACCATCTCTGTGACAGTCATCTATTGCTGTAGTGGATGGCAGAAAGTTTACTCCAGTTCGAGAGAATGTAGACAAGGTACTAACCAAAGGCGATTTTGAGTGAAGCACGTCAGTCGGAAGAAGCTGTTTTGTATTCTTGTGCAGTGGTTTTGCCAAAATTTTCAGGCAAATCGCCTCTATAAGGAAAAAGACACTTAGCGATACAAATTTGGTATCGTCAAGGCATATTTAAAAGGAAAAGGGCTCACTTCTGGTCGTATCCTGCGATGAGGCGTTCTTTTTTCGTGGAAATTGCTTAAATCGGCGGACGGAAAAGGGGAGGAAAACTTTCCTTTTCGCCTCCCATAAAAAAGGGAAGAAGGAAAGCCTGATTGCAGGTTATTCCTGTTGACGTGCGTCGCTCAAAAACGCCTTTGCTCGTTTGGAATTGTTTGTTTGGTTCATGTTTCTGCGAACGTGACGGTGAACAACGTTCAATAGCATTCCTGTTATTTTGATCTTTCTGACCAATAAAAACTCCTCGTTAATTTATTCCGTCATAATCTGTGAACAAAAGAACAAAGGACAGTGCACCGTCAGGGAGTTCCGAATGATATACAGCTATTTCGAGAAAGGTTGTCGAAAAAAGTGCACGCGACAATCCCGAAAGTTATCGTGGGTGGCTTTGAGGGCAATGTTCTTCAAAGAAATCTAAAAGAATGGGACGGGAGGCCACGAACATATGTTTGCGAGTACTAAAGGAAAGCAACAAAAGTAGGTTCGACAGCTTCGGTCGTTACAAACAGTGTATTGATCATATCCCATATTACCTTTCGGGATTGTCGCGTGCGCATTTCTTCCGACAAACCTTTCTCGAAATAGCTGTATATCACAGCTGCACTGTTGTTTTTATCAGCTTTGATGTTTGCCGTCTTTCGCAATTCCAGACCTCCTACCAGTAACTAATGTATGCTCTGATTATCAGTTCCCTATAATCATGTTAACCACTCTATATAAAAGTCCCAAATTCTTCAAACTGAATGATGATAATCTTTATTGAGGATGCCAGCTTTATCTAAACCAGTGATTTACAGGAGGGTCCTTTTAGACTAAAATCACTAATAAAAATAATGATTATTATTTACAAGTTAAAAGTTCAAAAAATTTGGTCGGGCAGTGAAAAAAAAAACAGTTTGGTTTTCTCAACTAAGTCGATACAATCAATTTACCGTCTTAAAATGGATGAAAATTTGACGTTTTTAACGCAAGCCGTTAGTCAGAGCAAAATATTTGACGGAAGGTAAGAGCTCAAAGTAACTCCCATGGAGAGCCTACATTTAAATTTAAGATACATGAATACGTGACGCGGAATGCGGTGTGGTTTTTGAGTTACTCAGTCCTAGAGGGTGTCGATTTTGATGAAGAGATCCTAATTATGTTGTAATGAATAATTTGAAGGATAATCTTCTACTTGATCCAGGATTATAAACTAAATATTAGCAGATAATTTGCTTCAATATTCCCTTTTCTTTTCCATATATCAGCGATATGTTCTCAAGGATGTCACTCCAGTCAGGGGAGCTGTGTTGCACCCGATAACTGCCAGTGTCAATCCGGTTGGACTGGTAACAACTGTGCGCAAGGTATTCTAACTTTCCCACTGTTTGCATTGTATTCAGAAATGTACATGACTCGGACCTCATCTACCTCATATTACTCCCAATTATTTGTAATTTTATATGGCATCATGTTTCACAGAATTGCTCGCGTTTAGGTGTGGTAGGGGCTTAGGAACACTTCGTACATCACGCCAAAGGGATGCATCTCATAAGCGTTATCGGGCATGACTTACAGCAAGGCCTCAGTCTTGTTCATATCGGTAAAACACTGAGACGAAAATGATTTTTTTCCATGTTTTTCATAACCCACGCCACCTTCTTCACCATTGTTATCATTGTCATCATCTCCTTGGTTATCCCGTTGTGTTTATCCATTTTCGCGTTTTGCCTCCACTTTTTTCCTAAAATTTATTTTCAGATCCCGTGATTATTGACTTACTTTCTTATATTCTTTTACCTATGGTATCCAAGGATGTGCACAATATTGCATACTTTGCTTAAAAAATAGATCGCCGGTTTAAATTCAAGTGGCTGATTTTGTTAAGTTTAAATACATTTTTTTTTTTGCTCCATAGACTTAGATGAATGTGCTGTAAACAAAGGTGGATGCGATCAAGTGTGCACTAACACACAGGGTTCTTATCAGTGCAGTTGCAATCCTGGATACACCAAAAGTGGTCATCGATGCCATGGTATATTCACTATTGTTATCACTTTTATAACTGGCAGATCGCTATATATTTTACTTCAATTTTAACACTCGCAAATCTGAAAAGAATTCCCTTTCTGTAACATCTAGATCTAAATATACGTTTCAAATTTTCTTTTTCTGTATAAGAAATACTCTGGTACTTTTCTTAGCCCTTCATGTTATGAGTTACACACACGAATACAATAAATGCGATTCTATGCCAGCAAATTAAGCTCTAAGCATTCGAAACATTCGAAACCGTTTGCCTTAATTGTTCAAGTAAGTAAAGGCAAACTTAGTAAAACTATTTTATCAAGCCTAGCGCAGTCTTATTGATCATCGTAGAGTATTGGTAATCTGGGACGCAGTCAACCTCGCTCCCAGATTCTCTTCTTTCCTTGGCAACGAGGCTCGGACGCATCACTTTTCTTTCCCTGGTAACGAGGCTGGCGTGCAGTGATATAGTGTCTTCTCTACATAGTGTTACAAAATGCAGCATAACATGGTCTAGTTAATAGGCCAAGGGTTCCGGTGGCACGCTCCATCAAAAATTCATGGAGTACCTTACCCAGGTTTTCAATCGAGGCGAATTACTTTCTTTTATGACTATTGTTCATTTCCTCCCAGATATCAACGAGTGCCTGACAATAGTTCCCAGTCCCTGCAGTTGCGGTGTAAGCGGCGAGCCTTGTGGTGCGAACTGTATCAACCTTGTGCCCAGCTTCACTTGTTCCTGTGCACCAGGATTCCAGCTTAGAAGTGGTGGAACAATTTGTGACGGTAAAAACTACAACTTTCTTGTGAGAAGAAAGTGTTTTTCTATGTCGAATGTGTTAGGGGTGTCAATAAATGTCTTCTTTAATTTATTTTGATATCATCCTATAATAGTATCTAGGAATTTCCAGCTTCCGAATCTCACTGCAATTTTTTTTTTCTTTTGTGACTAAATAGTAAGAGGTCGATATTTTAAAAAGTACTTTAATTTCTGGATTCTCAATCTCAGTTCACCTGACAAAAAAAAAACATTCTGTCTCTGAATTTGTTCTTCAGATATCAACGAATGTTTAACTGGGAATGGAGGATGCGAACAGATTTGTAACAACTTTCCAGGGAAGTTCTCTTGTGGATGTTATCGGGGCTTTCGCGTGACAGCCAGTGATGAAAGCCGATGCGAAGGTAAAGAAAAATGGAAAGACTTAAAAGTTGCAATGGGTAACGTGAAGTCTCTCAGTCCCTGAAATGACCTACTTGGAAATGAATTGATGAAAATTTGATTATCTCTGTCAAAAATTGATTGGAGAGATTATGGCCTCCTGACTTGTCCAGCAAAACTAGCGACCGCATAACTGAAAACGAAAATCTTTAGATTCAAAACAAATCAAAATCCCTTGATCATGCTTTCGATTTCAGGTGACTGGAGTTGTTGTAGGAGTTCTCATTCGCAACGCTTTTAAATAATGTATTCGTCTTGTGCCATTTGCGGAATTGTTTTTGAACTGGACATGTTATAATGTCTCAAGGGAAATATTTCTTTTTTTTTTTTTATTAATTTCGTAAAGCCTCAAAAGGAAAGACAGAGGGTGTTCAATTAAATATTCATTTATTCAATGCAAGCCCTGCACCGATAAGAAATGTTTAACGGTTTATCGATTGCTGTCAATGCTCTAGACTCGAGAAAATATTTATTCAAGTAACTACAGGGTGCCTGGTACTTGGTTAAAAAGGCTACGCCCTGTTCGGTGGCACCGGTATTGGCACACAATCAAATGTATACTTTAAAATCTCCCGTTAACGTTTCATATTCAGTATGCCCTCGCAGAAGTACCATTATAAACAGCGTATTTGTTTCACCTGCAGACATTGATGAATGCTTGTCCAGTAACGGGCTTTGCGCTCAACAGTGCATCAATACTGGAGGCTCGTATTCATGCCGCTGCACTAATGGATTCGTTTTGGATTCAAATGGCAGAACTTGCTCAGGTAATTTTTACATGCTCTTTCTCAGGATGACGTTATTTGACTTAAGCAGCCAATTAAACCTTATTTCGCTTGCTGCTCCTTATCTACATTTATAGAGTAGTACCAATGAGTTAAACAAGAGCCATTGTGGAGTTTGTCTCGGGAACAATTTGAGATGTAAGAACATGACGAGAGGGATGCTGTTGTTATTGGTTCGAATTAATAAAAGTTAAAAGGAAAAAGATTGACAAAAGTGTATCAGTTCAGCATCTTTCATGACAAACAAAAGGAACGTAACAACTGACTCAAGTTGTTCTTTTATTAGATAAACTGTAGGTGGAATGGGCTTTAGACTTTGCAGATGTATCCAATACAGCTAGACGTACAATTCTTCTATAATATATAGAGGATATTACATGGCCGTGTGGAGATACGAAATTTCTCTTCGAGTGTCGAAAAATATTTCACGAGTGAGCGCAGCAAATAAGTGAAATATTTTTTCAACACGAGAAGAGAAATTTCGTATCTCCAAGCGGCCATGTAATGTTCTATTTATTATATAAACACCAATGAAATACCAAACCATTTCACTTTAGTAGTTTTTTAGTGTGAAAGGCGCGAGTTTAGCCATAGCAAAGGTGATATTTTCACATGTGAAGATATCAAGTTCTCGCGAGAAAGCTCACTTGGTATTTCATTGGTGTTTATATAATAAAAAAGAATATTATATTACAGGAAGTCAACACAATCTGTGACATTGCAAAAAGTACAATTGTCCATCGTGAAATGAAACTTTTCTACGTCTATTTTTTGGTATGGCTTTCACTAGACCAGTTTGTTCCCCCGTCCCCTCCCACCAACAAGTTTACTTATTTTATCCTCGCTACGGGTCTGACTCTTTTTTATTAGTTATCGCAGCAGAGGCGTAATCGATTCTGACAGCCCTACTTGTTTGGCCTAAAAGGTGATACAAATGAATCTCTAGTCTTGCGCTTTCCAAACTTATACCAATTATCATGGGCTCATTCTATATCTTTATGATCACTGAACGTTGTAAAGGGAACGTGGGGGGTACCCCTCGTCTAAAGCTATATGAGAAAGTAATGAATGGCACCAAAAAGTCACCCATATTTTTTCTGACTTGGATTTTAGATCATGATGAGTGTATGTCGAGCCATCATGGATGTCAGCATCGGTGCAACAATTTTCATGGAAGCTTTTTCTGTTCATGTTTTTCTGGATATGCGATAAACAGAGACAATAAAACTTGTTCAGGTATGCGTTCGAATTGTGCATGTCAAAAGGAGCAAACTAATAACCAATAAGAGGTTGGACTCAAAATTTTTATCGGTAAGGTAATTGACGAGTCAGCTATTAAAAAGAACGACAGATAGTGAGTCTGCTTACTGTAGCAAAAATCTACTTTCTGTTGATTCTTATGAAGTATTTCTTACCAAAAACGCCGATTTCCTTTACTCACTATTTTTGCGCTGATAAACTGAGCTAGTACGTTAGCTAATGATACTAAGTGAAAGGCAATGGAATTATTGCATGGGTTTACTCATAGTTGATAAACGTTATCTCCGAAAAAAAATCGCGTACATCAATAATTTGATGCAAAAAATTGCAAAATGGGAACGTTAGAATATCACGTTTGGGAACAACAGCGTGGCCAAGAACAGAGTTGCATTGGGCCATTTTGGATGTCCTTTCAAGACCCCCTGCATATGGTAATCAGTAACAGATAAGTAAAATTAACGTACTTTACTTCTTTCAGACGTGAATGAGTGTGCTCCAGTGTATGTGGCCAGCCTGAACAGAACCATTATTCCTGCTGGATGCGATCAACTTTGCCACAACACACAAGGGAATTACACCTGCAGTTGTAACCGTGGATACCGTCTGCTCTACGATGGAAAACGATGCCGAGGTATTATTTAAGACATTTGTAAACCCCATAACGCCTCTGTTTTTCATTTACCTGGTCGATCTCCGGCAGATAATTGCTGTGATCGTTGAACACAAACAATTAACTTTAATTTTTGAACAACACAGATGTAGACGAATGTCTCTTAGGAAGCCACTCTTGTCAGCATATTTGCCACAACACACCTGGATCTTATGGTTGCTCGTGTTTGTCCGGATACAGGCTCAAACCGGACATGAAAACCTGTGAAGGTGAAGGCCTTAAGTTTTCTTTCTGATCTTGAATAAAATATAGTCTTAAATGCTGCCTGACGCTTACACCTTGCCTCCTTAGTATAACCCACCGTAACACACTGCGCGAAACGGGGAAGTAAATATCTACAACCGACACACAGGGTCAATGTTGTATGTGACATTAAGAGGCGGCTGGGGGTGTGATGTTAAAAAAAGCGCCACATACGCAAGAATTGTCCCAAGACTTTTTTCAGGATTGTAATATTGTCACAGGCATTTGTTACTAGAGGTGCAACACCTTTTAATAACAACTAATCCAACCTTATGCTGAAACGATGATTTAGGATTCTCATTGGAAACTGAGGATTCCAGTCGGATTCCAGTCGTCCTTGAGCTACATACCGGATTCCAAAGCCAAGTACTCATTCTCTTTTCCACAAGAAAAATTTCCTACATTCCGGAATCCGGATTCCCTTACATTGGGCGATAGGGAAAACTAATCCTTGTCCAAGCAGCCAGCCCAAAGACCTAAAAAAGACTTTCTTCTGATATCCGACACTAGGCTTTGTAACATTAATCCTTTCTTTTTTTGAGAAGGGCTTCCTTGCGAGGCTATCAAGGCCCCACCTAATGGACACATGATATGTAGCGGCTTGGTTACCAACGAGACATGTTTGTTTTCCTGCAATGATGGCTATGAAATGCAAGGCTCTGAAAGACGAACCTGCCTGAATTCTGCAGAATGGGACGGTGATGAAACATTTTGCAAAGGTGAGCAAAGACGTGGTCTCTGTAAAACTTATCCGTAGTTAAACTGTTGTTTACAGCCTATACTGTTAAAAAACGAGATAAGGCCATCAGAATCTAAGCTTAGCCATATCTGACTGGAAAATAAGAGCGTTACTCTTCATTGGGTAATTGTTATGCAATGTTCCCAAACAATTTTCTCTCACCTCACTCTTGTTTTTATCACCCGTGCACAGTGAAAAGTTGTAGTCGCCTTGACCTACCAGCAAGAGGACAAGTGTATCTTCCTTGTTACTCTACATTTGGCTCAAGATGTACACTTGGTTGTATGGACGGCTACTTTGGCGTTGGTAGTAATCTTGCTACTTGCCGCCTGACTAATTCAAGCGAAGTTAAGTGGGACATAGGAAACTTTACTTGCGAAGGTTAGTATTGTTAATCTTTCAATAATTTATGTGATATCATTCCAGACGTGAAAACCCTGTCCATTTGAATCCTTATATCGGATAAAAGTGTTGAAGCCTTTCCTTTTCATACCATTAGAAAATATTGTCCGCTTTATATTTGAGCCAAGACAAGATGTACATCTGCCTCTACAGCGTAACCCCTTAAAGGTGGTTAAACAAGAAAAACTGTCGAAAATTAAGAAAAGTACCTTAACGCTTTCACTTTATTGAGAAGTATTCTGCTTCTTTACTCTTCTATGTTTCTGTTGTTTGAAAAGATGGAGATGCGAGCGTTTTGCAGGGTACTTTAGTTTAGAAATAATGTTTTTACGTTCATCGTTATTTTACAACATCCCTCCTTGTGTTTTCATCCCTTCAATGAAATGTAGGGACAAAAAAAGAAAGAAAAAGAAGAGACACTTGAAAACTTGGTAGCATTTGAATGATCACAAAATTTCTATTTTATTTCAAAAGAAAGGATAGCCAACTACATGCTTCCTTTTTTTCTCAGAGATAATCCTCTGCAAACCTAATCCTTGTCGTCATGGTGGCCAGTGCATAGTTATCAGTTCAAGACAATTTTCTTGCGATTGTGAGCAGACTGGATATGAGGGAAGCCTGTGTGAAAGGGGCGTTGTAACGCCTCCTGATTTCCCCAAACTGATTCCTGGTCATCCTTCAAAGACACTGGAGATGGGTGCAAAGCCAGAAAATTCATTGACAGTTCATTTAAATCCCACCCTGAACTTGACCATTCAGCCTGAGAAGTTGATAATTCAGCACCCGGCATCAAAGGCAGAGTTTCAAATAACGGGTTACAATTCTGCGGTTGGAATGGTGACGTATAGTCTTGATGGAGTGAACAAGTATGATTTCACGGCTCCACGCAAAAGCGTTGTATTTATAGGCCGAAATGTCTCAAGTCAGGATAGTGTTTACACCAGGCTTGGTTTGTTAGCGGGCGAATTACCAGTTGGATGTCAACGGATGGACATAAAGAAATTCCGAGCATGTGATGTCAAAATAGCTTTTCATACAAACATATCCAACATATCAACTCCAACTTTAATTGAATCCGGTCCAGTCCACATTATAACATCTAACAACGGGACGATCCCTCTTAGCTTAGCAGGTTATGACTTTTCTTCGCCAATTCCATTAGAAAAAGATATAATGGAAAGATTGATTTGGCTCACAAGCCTATCAGATCGATGGCAAGTCAGCAACCAAAGGTCAGATTGTTACAATATCGGTTTAACAGGAGAAGACCTCATTGAAATTATACAAAAAGATGCCTTCTCGAAGTCTTTTCTGAGATTCTTAACGGATCAATTGCCGTTGTGGTTACGATTTCGGGTTAGAGAGGAAAGTAACCTGTTCGATATAGGAAACGTACAGTCCAACCTTTTTCTAACAACGGATGCCCACCTCACTTACCCAATATGCAAGTTTCCTGTCCACATACAAACCGCGTTGGTCCTTTATCATCCAACGGTGAATTTTAACATCTCAGTTGAAAACAGTCATCTTTCCTTGTCAAGCAAAGGATCGTGTTTCGCAGCTGACATTTGTGAACCAGGGGTTTTCCTAACGTTATCCAAACGGGCAAGGAAAAAATTTGCAACCATGCAATTTATGCAAGACCTGACTTTGGGAGGTTGGGAACTTCTGGTGTCTTCCTTTGGTTTTACTACTCCACGAAGATACAACAGGTCTGTAAGCAGTGTACCAAACGGCCACTTGTTTCGAAATTTCTCCGATTTCTATTATAACTGGTGGTGGCAAGGAAGTGCAAACATCGATATGAGTAACGAGGATCAGGCTGTAAATATGAAAATGAGTGGAGAAGCCTTTGCTTTAGCGGAAAACTTAGATGCCGTAAGTATAGCGTTTCCCTGAGCTGTTAGCTTTGAGCAAAACACAACCTCCACCTTTCTTTTATTGTTTTTCAATTTGCTGCAGCATTTTCCATAGGCTGTTAAAAAGCTCTATGGACATGATAGTTGTACTTCTCCGGTCTACTTCATGACCGTAAACAAACCCCTTTTTTTCATTGTGTTCTCTCGTAGGTATTTACCAGTTATTTCTCGGAGCCAATAGGATTTGTCTTCCATGGATCAGTTGAATTTAACGTCACCCTTCACAGCCTTGGAGAAGTATTTCCTGTAACCTTTTACTCTAGCGACGTTATTGGGAAAGCAACTTTTGGAGGTGCAAAAAACTTCTGTTGATAAACTATGGTAGTATGAATTTTAATCTGTGAGGAAAATCACTTCGTAAATGACAGACTAGTATCTCATTGCTGTTTTTCTTCGCATCACTTGATTACTGCTACTATATAGTAGATCTGGTTGGTGATGATGACTAAATAACCATATTTGGTCCGTACAGAAGTCCGTACCCACAAGATTTACCAGTCAGTAGATTAAATAATTTTCTAAGATAAAAAGAGCAAGAAATAAATCAACTAGATTGTAAATCTACTAAAAAATTCGTTAACAGTACATGTTTTAAATTTTGAATATATGAAAATCACATATGTGAACTGCGGAGTGAAGAATTATTAGAAGGAAGATCATCGCAGTTATGTACACAACTTATGCAGTTGGGAAAAGAAAGCCTGAAAAAACTCAGAATTGTACGGAATTAAAACCCTTGACCTCGCGATACCGGTGTAGCGCTCTACCAATTAAGCTAACAAGCCAACTGGGAGCAGGTCGTCGAATTGGTTAGTTATAAACCCGTGAAAGGATGATGATGAAATTATTAATATATGAAAATCATATTCCGTTCCTGCTCCCAGTTGGCTCATTAGAATTAATTGGCAGAGAGCTGCCCCGGTATCGCAGAGGTCAAGGTTTCGAATCCCGTACAAGAGTTTTTTTTTCAGGCTTTCTTTTCGCAACTGCATAAGTTGCTCATATAACTGCGATGATATTTCTTCTAATAGTACATGTTTTCTCTTTCGATGTCGCAGGAAGAACGTTATTGTCACCGGGTTTCAGTGATGATTGCCGAGTGCCTCAGGGATTCGTTTTCGCTCTTGAACAATCCTCAAANTTTAATCTGTGAGGAAAATCACTTCGTAAATGACAGACTAGTATCTCATTGCTGTTTTTCTTCGCATCACTTGATTACTGCTACTATATAGTAGATCTGGTTGGTGATGATGACTAAATAACCATATTTGGTCCGTACAGAAGTCCGTACCCACAAGATTTACCAGTCAGTAGATTAAATAATTTTCTAAGATAAAAAGAGCAAGAAATAAATCAACTAGATTGTAAATCTACTAAAAAATTCGTTAACAGTACATGTTTTAAATTTTGAATATATGAAAATCACATATGTGAACTGCGGAGTGAAGAATTATTAGAAGGAAGATCATCGCAGTTATGTACACAACTTATGCAGTTGGGAAAAGAAAGCCTGAAAAAACTCAGAATTGTACGGAATTAAAACCCTTGACCTCGCGATACCGGTGTAGCGCTCTACCAATTAAGCTAACAAGCCAACTGGGAGCAGGTCGTCGAATTTGTTAGTTATAAACCCGTGAAAGGATGATGATGAAATTATGAATATATGAAAATCATATTCCGTTCCTGCTCCCAGTTGGCTCATTAGAATTAATTGGCAGAGCGCTGCCCCGGTATCGCAGAGGTCAAGGTTTCGAATCCCGTACAAGAGTTTTTTTTTCAGGCTTTCTTTTCGCAACTGCATAAGTTGCTCATATAACCGCGATGATATTTCTTCTAATAGTACATGTTTTCTCTTTCGATGTCGCAGGAAGAACGTTATTGTCACCGGGTTTCAGTGATGATTGCCGAGTGCCTCAGGGATTCGTTTTCGCTCTTGAACAATCCTCAAAACTTTTCAGAGCAAGTCCCTTGGCTTATATCATCAGGCCCGATGATGGATTGAAATATCTGCAAATCTACTATTCAGTGACTGGTGGTGACGTTATCTCAGCACAGGACAATAACAACAACCTGAGGTTTTTGGAATGGCAGGCGCAAGAAATTAAACGAACTCTCTTTGATGTTGGAAGAGCTGTACCTCAACTGCAATCCAACACAAAGAGGTGGGAGGCATTGGCAGACGAGATGTTAGCTGATGTGACCAAAGCTCGATACCTTCTGTCTACAGCTTCCGATTGGCTGGGGTTGAAAGTGCTTGTGAAGGAGCTAGATGACGACCTTGATATCATATCTCGCGCGTTTGACCTTCTTATTTCTAAGTTACAGCCCTACAGGAATCAAACAAGTATAAACAGTTTTATCTATCGTTTCGTTAAATTAAGGGCAGACCTTCCCAAGGCTATCTCTCTTTCTTTCTCCAAGTCTGTTATTCAGCAGAACTTTATAGGTTTGCGATTTCTTTTGACTGCTCAAATATGCCACGAGAAGCTCTGCTTTGCAAACATAGACTCAAGCATCTGGTCCCTGCATGGCAACGATTGTCACACCAACCCATCACGACAACAAGCCGGCTTACTTGTTGAAGGAACTGCTCTGAATACTATTTCTCTTGGTAGTCTAATAACACTTCCAGCCGGTGGAACGTTGAAAATGTTCCTATCGCGTGATCGTGACCTTGTTTCCACAACCTTTGAGGGTGTTGTTCACCTACTTGGAATGACGAAAAAAGCAATGGTAAAAATTACCGGAAGTGAGTTATCCTTTGTCATTTCAGGTGATATGTTTGGAGAGTTTGACGCACTGTTAAATGTCACAGCTCAAATTGATAACGTTGTTGACTGGGATTCCATAGTATTTAGAGTGGAAGGTAAGATGAATAGGTCGTCACACCTCCATTCCCTTCTTGAAAAGATAATGAAAAATGAAACTGCTATGGCGTCGAGTGATGCAACACAAAGATTAGCGTACTCCCATTCAGCATACATTGATGCAAAAAGAAAAGCAGTCTTCGTTAAAGACGTCCTCAAGTCAAAACAGTCAGTTTGGACGAACTGAAGGTCTGGAAAGAAAAAGCTGTTGAGGAGCTCCGTCTTGCACGTCTAAAATACCATCTTGCTAAACTACGATTTAACAGCACCTTCTATTTTCTCGAGAATGTCCGAGGCTACGTTTGTGAGATACAAGAGTGTAATTACACTTGTTTAAATGGCTGCGTCACTCCAGACCTATGCCAGGATCCCATAAATATAACTTATCTTGAACGGCATTGCAACACAGTTGACAAACCAATAACAATTAACGTTATACAGAAGGAGATCGAAAAACGCAGTTTCACAGTTCCTACATATCAAACAGTATACACTGGAAACTGTAGGTCTGGCATCTCCATAAAAACTGTTTTCAAATATGCTCTAAAGGGGGCTCAAATTGGAAAAACGATTGGAACGATGTTGAAAGGCCCGGTTGGTGGTGCTGTGGGTTTTGTTGTTGGAGGTGTAATAGGAGGTATCGTTGGAGCTTTCAAGAAGTCAATATTTGGTTGCTCCAATACTTACGAAAAAGTGCCAGCAGAGCCCCAAATTGTGGAGTACGACCACAAAATATATAAAGTGAAATCAGTGGAGCAGATCATTAAGGAAGTGAAATGCAATGGTCACACAATGAGGGCAAAGCCAGGTGGACACGGACCGCCATACCAATGCTGCAAGCAATATGGTTGTGAAACTAAAGTAATGAACCCCAAGTGTATATTAGACAACGAGGAATGTCTTCTATCCATGACAGAACTTAAGTTCACGCTGGATGCTCTGAATAAAACACTGCAATCGGAATTCTTGTCTTTAAGATCCTCTGTGGAGAGGGTCCAAAAAGCGACGTTTTCTTTTGAAAAAGCCAGAGTCCTTCATAAGAACGCTGTTTCTCAGCTGAAACAAATCGAAGCACACACGAAACAAAAACTTTCAGTTGTGGAGATCACAAATGCTTCGATGATTCACACTCGACGGATTGTTGACATTGGGTTGAAAATAGCGCAGGCAATGAATTCTTCCGATAACGGGAAAGTTGTAGACGTTGACGACCTGCACTTTTCTCTTTCCGTGGTGTCTGGGGACGCCAAACAGATTGTTGTGCAAAGTAATGCAAGCACACTTAGTGGCAAGCAAGTGCCAGTCCGCTTTCTTCTTAATTTCGACCAAATGCAACGTTCAATTTCTTCGGCATCCAAGAACATTATCGTCGACTTATTTGGTGGAAAACACGCAAGAAAAAAGCGATCAGCTGCAGAAGACGCAGGAGGCTCTACACATTCTGTACATTCGAGCTTTATGGATTACCCATACGCGTGCCTTTTTGTCAACAACACAAACTTGTACTTCAGCTACATGTTCAAATCTTTGCATACCCTTATTTCTTCAGTCAAAGGATTACACCAAGACCTGACGTTTGGAATACACGACCTTGAGCATCTATCCCAGACAATGAATGCTACCGGTTCTTTTTCGAATGCCTCAAAAACAGCAAATAACTACAGCAAAGAATATCTAAACAGCTCTTTCGTGACAGGATTCCTAGAAGTCATACAGGTGTTAAAAGACGAGAATATCAAGATGATGAATGGTTCTTCTCAATCTTGGAATGACACTTTTGAGGCTTGGAGAGCTTTCCTGGAGGTATACACCTTAGAAAAGAGCTTTGAAGAGTGCTCTGGCACTCAAGACTGCATCAAATACTTCTTTGAGGGAGCAAGGGAATTTTATGAGTTCGAAAGCAGTCGGAGGGCACTTGAGATTAAAGATGCCCTGCCTCGACTTGAAATCGTGATTCAGTCATTAACAACTAAAGCCCTGAGTATGGAGGAAACAGAGCAGGCTCTCATTCTCGCCGACCACTTATTAAACAAAACTCTTGATGACTCCGTTTTGTGTGGGGGATCACCAAGCATAACGTCTTCATCTCAAGGTGAAGTTATCATTTTCCCTGGAGATAGCCTTTCGCTAAATTGTACTGCAAAGACCGAAGAGATCCTAACATATACTTGGCGACGAAATGGTAAGACCATTAGCAAATCAACATTTGGAGCTTTCTCGATCGACGCCGTCACCAAGGATGATGAGGGAGCTTATGTCTGTGAGGTTTCGAACAATAAAGGAAACACTTTGTCCAATGTGACAATTGTCAGAATTCATAGCAAGCCTGTGATCACTGAACATCCACAGCCACACAGAGTAGTCTTTAGAAGCCAAATACCAGTGACATTTAAGTGTAATGCGACTGCCGAGCCATTGCCTACTTTCCAGTGGTTCTTTCAATCCAAAAACGCATCCACTATTAGAATTAACGAAACCAGACCTGTGTTATACATCGCCGACCCTCATCTTTACCAGGAGGGTTATTACTTTTGTGAAGCATCTAATGAACACGGTAGAGCAGCCAGCCAAAGAGCCCGACTAGATGTTTTAAACTACACTGTTGGCCTTCCACGATTACTGATTACTTTTAACCTGACCAACCTCTGTTGGCTAACATCTAATTCTTCCAACAGTTCTGCCCCAGATTCTCAGTTATGTGATGGATTACCTTCATCACTGGACGACAATCTGACTGACAGCCTCCTAAATTCCCTGGCAGCATGTCTGAATTTGTCCACTTTTTCAGTCTCTGATCTGACCTACTATTCAGAAAATAGGTCAAAGCCGTATTTGTTATTCACTATCGACCTTGATAAAGACTTGTTAAAGGACGAAAACCTTACAACCTTTACAAAAGTAGCTGAAGCGATTGCTGTTGGTGAAGCAAGGATGGTCGAGAATCTTCAAAAGTTCAACGCAGACGTGCTTAACAAGACCTTTAAGGTTTCTTGGAACTCCACCACTCTCCTTGTTGAACCTGGAAGTATATTCGCCTACCCGTTATCACCCGAATGTCCAGAAGGACAGTTCCTTAGTGGGCACGGTTTTATTTGTGGTGAGTTGCGTTCTACATTGGTGACTTTAATAGATGTGTTAAGAATCACAATTTCATTTCGCTCAACACACAGAGACACACAATAAGAATACGTCACCCGCGACAGGCACGTACGCGCCTACGTTGTCTATCTTTATCAAACTAGCGTACAAACCGTTTCAAAAGCTGACATTTAGAGCGCTAACCCGGTCAGGGCGAACCGGTTAAAACCTATATATGTATACGAATTCTCTTTTTCTTGGCTGACTTTGCTGGAGAAAAACTGAATTCAATTAAAAATTGGCCTCGATTCATCAAGTCAAAACACAGCAGGGCCCAGTTATTCAAAATCTGTATAGCATCATTGATCCATCGGAAAAAACCCTATCTTTGATCCACCAGAAAGAAACATTATCCAGTATAGTATGGAAAAGTATAGAGAAATCAATAACGCTATCCAGTAGATAGAAATTGATCCGGTGTTTAATGTTTTATCCACCTTTTGAACAACTGGGACCAGAGGAATCGCGTCATCATGCCGATTTTTTGTCTAGGTCGTTATTTCCTATTGGTTGGCCCCGACTTGAGGGATAATTGTCCTAGAAAAATAACGCTCATGATTTCTCATGTTGTTTAGATAGGGTTTTTTGAATCTTAACATATGTTGCGTTAAGCTAGCCCAACTCGTCTGATCTTTTTTTTTATTGATTACTCTATTAAGAGTATACGCTCAAGTTATTACCCTATTTATTTCAAGCTAAGTTAGACGTTTTCTTTCTTTTAGCAAACTGCCCAGCTGGTCTATACTACAATCTTGAAAATGACACCTGCGTTGATTGTCCACACGGTACATATCAAACAAACCAAGGTCAAAACGAGTGTATTCACTGTGGCCAAAACCTCACAACAGCTGTGGAAGGAACTGTAGAAGAAAAAGACTGCATCGGTAAAGTGTCCGACGTTGATTATTTGGTAGTCACTACTTTGACATATCTTTACTGAAGGTTTCATTTTTATCAAAGGTCGGTCAAATCGTCGTTCGTACTTTATTCTTTTCCACAAATCCAAAGTGCATTTACAGCTTCCTGAAATCAAGAGGATCGCTGAAATGCAACGTGGGAGGACCAGAGGAGAGTTCTTCGGTACATCTACACATCTCATTCCAAAATGGCCCAGAATTTTGTTATTCGGTTTGTCTTTATGCTAATCACCCTCGATACCTTGCTTCAAGGTAAAATTTCTTTTGAATCCTGCAAAGGAAATCGAGGCAAAGAGGGCTAATTAACAAAAATAACCGACAATTTGACTCAGAAAATACACGACTGTTAAACTGTGACAATCGAAACGCAACCAAGACATTATGAGTCTTCTAGCCAATAACATCACGGTTTAACTGACAGACGACCAATAACATAGCGACTTAATTGACCAATCAGGTCAATAACCATGAGCTTAATACCATCAAATGACGTGATACAACTCACTTTGTCTCCGAAGATTACTACCGAACAGGTTGTCGAAACGTCAGTGACTTTCAACAACAGTCCTATTCATGCCAGGACTACGTTCGCCCGGACGGTCATGCTCAACCTACTTATGAAATGACTTCTGCGTTCAAACCTTTCACAAAAGCAGTATTGCTGCCATTTTAGAATAAGATGTATGAATGTTTAGCGGCCCGGTTCAAACGCACCTTCATAAAAGTGTAAGACCTAATTGATAGGTAAGGCGAGGTAGGAAAGTGCTGTTTTACGTTTGTGTAGGTTGGTTTGGCAATTTCAGTTTTGTACGGCACGATGTCGCATTATCAGGCTCGCCTCTCCAGCCGTGGATGGCTCGTCGCACAATGTTTGAGCTGGGCCTTAACCACTTTAATGTCAGTATTATACTATTCTTCTCTTCTTAGCTGACTGTCCGAGTGGTTCATTCGCAACACTGAACAGAACCTGCCTTCTGTGTCCTCTCGGTACATACCAACCTTCAACAGCTCAGCTATCTTGCATATCATGTGGTCAAAACCTGACTACCGCAACAACTGGAACGGTGGACAATAAGCACTGCATTGGTAAGTTCAAAAGTATTAAAAAGATTGGGTTAGGCCCCATAACCTCAAATAAGCACCATGGAGACAATCTTTCCTGACTGAGGTGTACAGACAGACCCCTTTAGTGATTTAAGATCTTGTCTCAGTTCATTGATTGCGTCACTGGGCGGCGAAGCTAGGCCGTTGGCTTTGTTTTCTTCATCCTCCCTCGTCAATTCACCACGGGGACGTAATAGAGCACATACTGATGTTAGAAAAGGGAAAAGACGTGGGGACTCCGTTGGGGTGGTCCATGTCTCATGAGGAAGGGTACTGTCACGGACCAACAGTATTTGGCTTCACGCTGTTGAGGTTAACCTGCCAAAAATTGGCGAATCTTAATAAAAATAAACAAAATAAAAAATTGTCTCCTGATCAATAATAAGTCACCCACGAAAATTTTTCAAGTCTTCATAAAGCATCCTCAGGGTTCTAAACGCTCGTTTCTTTAACACCCTTCTCTTCCACAATAAATCAAAAATTCTCTGATTAGTTTCTTTTTTCTCTATTTATTTGGCCTTTAGAAATCTGTCCTGCTGGATCTTACTTTAGTACTGAGAAGGCCACTTGTGTTGAATGTCCTCTGAGTACTTATCAACCTGTTCAAGGTCAAATAAAATGCATCCCCTGCGGCAAAAACCTCACTACAGCTTTGCTTGGAGCAGTGGAAGAATCATATTGTATTGGTAATATATCCGTGTGTTATGCGCATGTTTTGAACGTCTTACGATCTGCGTGAAACACATAATTATTATAGCACTAAAGCAGCGCAATAATATTTGCACCCTCTCTGTCGGTGGTTGGTGATTTTTCCCTTCCCTCTGAATGTCTCCCATGTCACTTGCCCTTTCCCCCCTACCTCACAATCGTTTGACGCATTTGATTAACAAAGGTTCAATGAGAAGTGATCAATAGCCTTTCTCCTCTGTAGAGACCTCTTTGTGTCGCATAGAGGCTGAGAAGAGGAATAAAAGAGAGCGCGTGGGATTGCTATTTTTGCTGGGATACCCAGCGGGAGCCTCGGCGAAGGAGAGTGATCAATAAATGTTTTACAGGCTGAAACAGTTAAACAAGAGAACAGAAAAATATTGGGGAGCAATTTTGGCCTGGGTTCAAATCCCGGAGGCGACGTCATATGTTGGTGAAATTTTTTGTGGTTCTCCTTCTTGCTCCTGGAGGTTTTACCCCTTAATTCTCTGGTCCCGCTAGCCCTCCCCCCCCCAACCCTGCTAGCAGAGGTTTCTTTCCCGTCCTGGTTCTTAGCATTTACAAAGTCGTTTGTGTAACCGACATTTGCGTAGTTAGTTCATGACAACGACGCGAACGACTGCGCACATGCTAAAATCCATGGCGGAAAGGAAAAAAAACTACCCTTTGAGTAGAAGTTTCTTTCCGGTATGTACTTTAGCCTGTGCGTAGTCGTTCACGTCGCTGTCATAAAACTACGCAAATGTCAGCTACGCGAACATCTCCTTGAATCCACAATGAGGACAACCGGAGTACTGAGAGAGATACCTCTTTATCTCTACGTAATTTGGCTACGAAGGTCAGGTAGCAGCGAAAATAGCACTAACATGAGTTTTACTTTATCTCCCCTTTCTTACGCGAATCTTTGCAGCGGACTGTCCAGCTGGTTCGTACAGTTCCCTCAAC